TTTCTGTATTGAAAGCTGACCAAAGAAAAGCTTTTCTTCAAACTTTTGTCATCCTTGGCAGTTCTTTTTAGGAAAGCAGAAAATTAGATATTTAGAATAAGCAAAAAGAGCATTTCATTCTGGACTTCATCTGTAGTGCAAATGTTTCCCTGCAGCACATAGGGAAGAGTGATTCACATCCTAAAAGTGATGACAAGTAGGATCACTAGCTTTGCCATAGTATTGCTTGCATTTAATCACTACTTCTGATTCTAGAACTACTATAGCTTTTACAGACTTATTTTTGTCTGGCACAGAATGCCTTTCACATCCTGAGCTATGCAGGAGAGCAATGTAGTTTTGTTCACACTGATTGCGTATGAACTGTTTGATTTACCTGGATGATAACTGCACGTTTCTTACTGATTAGATTTCTGTTTCTCGTTTCAGCAATTGTAGAGCAGGAGATGAAGAAGGATTGGTTGTTTGCACCTCATTATCGATATTACGTGCGGGAAATGAGGATCCATGCCTACAGCCAGCTGCTGGAATCTTACCGCTCTCTGACGCTGGGGTACATGGCAGAAGCGTTTGGAGTCAGTGTAGAATTCATAGATCAGTAAGTTGTTAAGCTTTTTGAGTAGAATGTTTGTTTTAAACCTACCAAGGTTATGCTTTTGTGGAAGAGATTGGCTGCATTTGAGCGTAATGTTTGAGTAAAGACAATAATTTGGTACAGTTTCTCGTGAAAACTATCCCAGTTCTCCTTTCACTCTTAAGGTCGCATGAAAAACTATTCTTTAGTGAATAATTCTGTTCTTTATCCTGCTATTCTTATGGACCTTAATAAGCCATAACCTTTAACATTTTAGAGGACAGCATGGTCCACAAATACACCAAGGTAAATACTCACATTCCCACACATTATCTGCCCTGCACGTCTCATCGTGTAGCTTTGCTTGCTTTCTGCTAAGTAAATAGAATCTGCTGTTTTTAACTTAAATCAGACATACGCTGCAGTCTCAATTCACAATTCGTTTTCTGGTGTAAGAAACAAAATCAGATTTAGATCATGATGATAACTGACAGGAGGTGAGGAAGTGCCTTTTACCTTGGCCATGTGTGTGAAACGCTTTGAATGGCTCACAGGAGCCATTCTTCTCTCATAAAGAAATTTCAGATTTTCTAACATAGGACAGTGTTACAGGAATATGAACACTGCTTGAAGTGTTCAGAAATGAATCAATAGGTGTTTCAAGAGGCACCAAATAGCATTCAATTCAGAGATAAATGTTGCTAAGTCATATTAGCTTTTGTGCTCCTCGGTAATTTATTAGCAATGTGGCTTTGTCTTACCACATATCCCAGGATTTATTGTTACTATTTATTTATTATAATATCAGCAGTGTCACGTGGAACACTGGCTGATAAAGCAAAGCAAACGAGACGTTTAGAACTGCTAGGAGACTCTTTAAGTGAATTGGCAGAATTTACATCAGGATGAATTCTGGATGGGTTTGATACCCGAGTGCCACCTCTGGATTTGAACAGCTGAGCTAAATGATGAGACTCACTTAACTGGAGAGTGAGATTTTGGCTTGAGAAGAAAATACTGAGACAGCTTGTATTGGGGTTGTTGGAATGATGGTGCTTGTTTTGTGTCCAAGTTTTAACAAGATGAGAATGTATAAGACATCTTCTGAAAACATATTGCATGTACTTCAGCAATAGATGCCCATGATGTTTTGTAACAGCACATCCTATGCTTGTAGGCCTGTACTTCCTTGGAGAAGTGTTGTTTAACAGTCTTTTTTTTCTCTCTCTTAGGGAGCTTTCAAGATTCATTGCAGCTGGGCGATTGCACTGCAAAATAGACAAAGTAAATGAGATTGTAGAAACTAACAGGTAGGAGGACGTCAATTGCTAGAGGTTACATTTTGCAGCCTGGCTGAGTTCTGAATTTTGATCACATTTGTGTTTATGCAGTAAGTTTCATGAGGTAAAAGATCTCAATTCTAAATGTTTTTTTTGTTTCCCCTTCACAATTTCTAGGCCGGATAGCAAGAATTGGCAGTACCAAGAAACCATCAAGAAAGGAGATTTGCTGCTAAACAGAGTTCAGAAACTTTCCAGAGTAATTAATATGTAATTTTTCTAATGCAAGGGAATGCAAAATGTAGATGTTTAAACCATTTTGGAAGTAACCTATAAATATATTGTATAACTTGGTATACTGTAGGTAAAAAATAGTAGCGAGAGAGCTCATGTTTTTACTTTCCACTTCATGATGTACACAATGTTTATGTACGCTGGGGGATGGATCCCAGTTCATTTATTAAATGTCTGGTACAATTGATCTCTTGTAATATATTTTATTCCTTCACTTGAATGTGTGTGATGCTCAGTGCTTTGTAACAAAGCGAGTGGAAATCTGTACAGAAAGAACACAGTGATCCTTTTTCTAAGACCTTTACATTTGAATCAAAGGTGAAAAGAAATAATTGCCAAGAAATAATAATAGCCAAAAATTTGTCATTTTTTGAGCACGGTCAAGGCAGGATCAATTCTGACATGAGAGAATTGCAGTGTAAGGCAGAAAGAAGAGGCATTTTCTTTTTCTAGAACTGATGCAGAGCAGGGCGTGAAGACTGCAGCTCTGGCTGCTTTTTGGTAACATCTTTTCCACTGTCCATAGATACAAATGCTAAGGATGTTAGATGGCAGTACTACAAAACAGCATGAGCCATAGGGCCCACTGAACTGAGGGATTTCCTTTGTGGTGCAGAGGTGAATTTTCCTTTCAGGATGTTTGTATTTCTCGAGATGACAGCAGTGTGTAGAACAACAGGAGTTGCACTGGATGATTCTTAAAGACCCTCTGACTTGCCTCAGTGTGATTTCTGTTCTGAGCATAGCACTTCAATTTCCATTCAATTTCAAGCAGAAGTGATAGGATTTCTGCTTCCTTTAAACACAAGGTAACTTTCATTTATCTTTCAGTTTCTGATGATAACAGTACATTTTCCTTTGGCTTGTTTTAGCTCATGATTTCAATTTAATTCTGATTGTGTCAGTCTGACCCAATTTGTGGGTTGGTCTTGACACCTATCCATAGATTTATAGCCTGCATGCCAAAGTTGTACATTCTCTCTCGTAATTTAATCCTGTGCAGTTCCTTGAACTACTGCCATTCTCCAATTTCCCCCTGGGAGGCCAACTTAGCTCTGGCACTGAGGTAGTCAGACTCAGATGCTGCTTCCAAGCTGCAGCCTTACGACCATGACACTTCCCCCCTTGCTCTGCACTATATTAGCCATCATTAAGCTGTGAGAACACTGGTCTGTGGGTAAAGCTTTTCTAGAAAGCAGTTGAAATCTAGTTTGTGTGTGACTGTCCTTTGGTTCAGCTGTGTCTGCTGGCCTGCAAAGGCTCCATTTAATCTCTCACTGAAGATTGGGCTCCAGAGCTCCAGCTCTAGCCTTGCAGACAACAATCTCATCTGCTTTTAAAAAAAAAATGACCTGTTGGGGACAGGAACGGCTGCAGGTAAGTGAATGGAGCTCAGCTGTAAAGCTGATGGAGGAAACTTCCAGCACTGCTAGAGAGCAACAAAACCAAGCAGCAGTGCTCTGTCCTTGCTGATTTGTGTGGATTGGGTGGCAGCTGTCAGTGACAACCGTATCTCGTGGGCTTGAACGCAGCCTGCTGCCCGCATGTCTCAGGCTGGTTTTCCTTCCTTGCAATGAAGTTTAAATCCGAGTTAATTTGAACAACTTCAGAGAAGGTTTATGAGTCTTCAGAAGTTTGGTGCGCCAGAAGAACAAAAGCAAATCAAGCACATGGTGCTTTTCTGCAACAAAGGTCCCATGCTGCTTGTTAGGAACCAATCCAACAGCTAATGCAGTATTGAGCCAAAGCACTGAGAAAAGCATTCAGACAAATTAAGAGCCTCGCAGCAGATCATACAAGCCCACGTGTGTTTGATTATTTGTTGCAGCAGAACGTGATGATAATAAAGGCACCCAAATTTGCATTTAAATAAAGCCAATGGCAAGCTCTTCTATCAGCTGCTGCAGTAGCTGGGTAAGTGAGGGCAGGCTGCAGTGTGCCGTGGCTCACAGGGCTCTGCTGAGCTCGCTGCACGTGTGGCAAAGGCACGGAGCCAACGCCTCATCCTGGCTGCAGGCATCTTCCTGTGAGAGTGGCAGCAGAGGCCCTACTTTCTGTCCACAAACTCCAGGACTGAAGTAATGGCTGGGCTGCGATCAAAAGGCGTTTTCCATGGCAAACCACTGCTACTGAGCCAATGGACTTGCTTTGCTGGGAGAACAAGCAGCAGAGGGCACAGGCTCTGCTCACTCCCATGCGGAGTTGCAGTGCAGTGTGCCCAGTGCAGCAAAGGGAGAGACAGCACTTGCAGGGCTCCAGGACACCTCACAGAGTCAGTTATAGGGATACACTCAGCTGGTTTTCTCTACCTTGTCGGTCTTAGGGGATCCAGCATCCTATTTGAAACGCAGCTGAAAGCAATTCTGCATCAGGTGCAGATGGCTCTGATGGCAAGCAGAGCTCTGCTACACGACTGCACGTCTCTGGCACAGCTCAGTACAACCCCAGTGCCAGCAGCTGATAGCAGGGAGCAGGAGTTAGGAAAGAAAGGGGAAGAAACCAGAAGATATTTGCAGGGAGGCAAGATGAAGAACAATCAGCCAACACCACAGTAACACTGCTATTGAAACACTGGTACTGGAAGCAAAGAACCTGCTTACTGCCTGCCCCATTTCTTCCAGCATTCATTCCAAATACTGAAAAATACTTTGTGCTTAGAGCTAAAATAAGAAAAAAAAAAGAAATTAAAACAAAAAGCACTGCTGTGGCTGTGGAGTCCGGCCCAGCGCAGGAGTCGGACGGGCTGTGCAGAACTGCACACAGCCTGCCCAGCCCATCCAGAGCTGAGGCGCAGCTCTTTGGTTCCTCTGAACGGTGAGGGATGGTAAAATGAAGCAGAAACATCGGATGCGTTCCATGCAACCAACCTCATTTATTGAAAAGTCCTAATTTTATTGCCTTGTTTAGTAACATGTTTGTTCAACAAACTAATCTTTGTCATGAAGCAAAGCACAACTTTTTCTTATAAATAGTATAAATTATTTTATTTACAGAAACTTGTTACAAAACAAATAGACTATATATTTATTTTTCTTTTAAATATCCAAAGTAATTTTTCTATCCCATGACATTTGTTCATGTACTATACAGCAGCCAACACGGAGTTCAGCTGATCAGATGCTCTTGATTATGTATACAAATTATCAAACTATTCACACATTGTACACAGGAGATTGCTTTTAGAACCAGGCTCAACACCGAGCAAGACGCTTTCAAGGCCTACATTCACATTGACATTACGTAGTGCTCATTTTTCAAATTATCCTCTTTAAAACGTAAAATATCTCGCACAAAATGTAAAAATGATTATTTTCTGCTCAACAGCGAAACGTGAAGAATCTTTCCAAGCCCAATTCCCTCCTCCGGGACAGAATGAGTGAGAGATAAGAGAGATTCCTTGGCAAGAGAACTCTTACAGGAAGACAAACTGCCTTAGAAATGTCACTTGGAAATTACATCTTTATTTCTGAGTGGTGTCGAGAGGTACTTACTGGGTTTTTGTTTTCCTTTCCCGGAATATGGACTTTTGGGAACATTTCCTAAGTTGTTTCACTTATGGATGAATAACCCCCCATCCCCTTCCTGCCCCAAATGACACAGCTCAATCCACTGCTGGTTAAAGGAAGCCCACGCTCCGAACTCTTGGCGCTACTCCCGCTCTGCACTACTAATGGGATTGTTCCAGCACAAGGTACTCCAATGGAAACAAAGCACAAAACTCACCAGCACTGTTTGCTTTTCTGCCATCAATCCATCTCAACAACTTCAGAAAATATATATATAAACGTGTATGTATATATATGTACACACACATATACACACACATCTATTATATATAGGTGGAAAAAGCAAGCTCCGAGATTTCAACTGAACATTCAAGTCATTTAAGGAGAAGCTGTCTCAGCAGTCCGAGCTCAGATCGAGTTCTATCAGGCACTTTCAGTTTTTCCTTTAGTCTGAAACCACGTGAGACCCACACGGACGCACACACCAACGCGAAGCAAGGGAAGCAGTGTGTCACTAAACGGAGTCCTCTGGATCAGGCAACCGAGAAGCAACAGCGGAGCGAGGGACGTGGCAGGGATGTGGCTCCAGGCACGTGGAGGCACCCCTTGAGTTGCAAAGTAGGCATGTTGCTATTGGCTTGGCAGTGAACCACTTCAAATTATATATATATATACACACACACACATATATATATATATATATAACAGAAAAGGTATTTGCTTTTTCTTCTTCTTTTTTTTTTTTTTTTGCCTTTTTTTTTTTAATTAATTAATAAATAAATACTAGATGATCTCAATTGTACCAAAACTGGATATCAGAAAAAAAGACCTGTGCAAAAATACATATTTAAATATGTACAATCAATTAACAAAATACGTCTTCTGAAATAGGGATACTTCAATATTTATAATAGAACAAGAAATTCCAAAATAAAGATACAAAAGTATGTTTTTCTTTTTCTTGTATAATTCTTTGTTCATCATTGCAGCAATGTTTTTAGGTTAAGAAAACTGCAGGAGTCATAACGAGAAGTCGGAAAGACTATAAAAAGTGTATCTCTTAAATTAATACCAAAATCTGTCTAGAAACAACCCAGCCACTGCAAATTCATTTTTGCTAGGAAAATTGATTTTCAGCTTCCTTTGTTATTTACAGTCAGAACCAGGGGACAGTAGAAGCTCCGGAACAACGCTCTGCTTGTAGCCGACATCTCACACACGACATGGAGGCAGCTCCATCCATGCCCATGGGCACACAGACCCGCAGTGCTGCAGCCCGCTCTTCCAGCAGCTTCCAGCCCGGCTCTGCTCTCCCTTCCTGTGCTGCCGGAGGAGCACGAGTTTGCATTTTGCTTTCGGATCAACAGAACCTTATGAACGAGTTTGGTTGCAAACTCACGAGATTCCATTCTTGCCAAATTGTCTCCTTTGTATTTAGAAGAGTCGAATCGCACTTGTGACTGAGACCGTCCCAAAGTGACATTTCTGCCCCAGAGATTTCCTCGCAGCATGGATTTGATTCCACGCGTGCGGGACTGAATGATGCATTTTGATTTCTCTTTGTGGCGTAATACTTTGGTTCCTTTCACGTTAAACCCATCACAGTTCCAACAATCCTTTCAGTAGGGCGCCTTATTAATCACAAATCCTTCTGTTCCTGAAAAGTTGCGTGGGATTTTGTTTTTAAATTAAAGTTTGCATAATAAGAGTCCATAACGCGTCGCTTTCTAAGAGTGATCTCTTGTATCCATTCAGAAGCTCAAGTGTCTGCATAGAGGCTGCTTGCTTTGCCGTACGACACCGGTTCTGGAGCAAGTTCAGGTGAAACTGAAAGCATCGTCAGGTAAACAACTCAGCGACTGCTACTGGTAGTGGCTTTGGATTCCCTGATGTACAACTTGCCACCGAAATGGGGAAGGCTGGGCAACGGGAACAACGTGACAGGCTCAGATTGTCTGTTCTCAGCGACAGCTGGTGCCCCTTTAAGGCAGAAAAATGTCTTCTTGGTCAATACTTTGCTTGCCTTGGCTTTGCCCCTTCAGAAAAGTTCAGTCCGTTTTGAGACTTTACCTAAAAACTTAACAAAAGAACCCCGACGAACCAAACCCCAATACAACGAGCCCTTGAATTCACTTCTGAGGTGTTCTGAAGCAACACAAAACGTTTCCTGCAGACTGAGAGGGTGCACAGAACCGTGCAGAGCCCCCGACTCACAGTGCCAGGCAGGAGCACAACGGCTGCAATGCGCACAGCTGCACCTGACGTGGAACTCAGCTGTCATCCGCTCCCCAGTTTTGGGGAAATAAAATAAAATCTGAGTGGTTGAAAGCATCAAAGCTTCAGTTCTACAAAGAAGGCATAAAATAAGTGACTTTTATTATTATTATTATTATTACTATTTTTTAGAAAATATTTAAATAGTTTAAATACTTCACTTTAAAAGGGCTATTTTTTTTTTTTTTACAGGCTGGAAGGCCAAGCCAGCCTAACGTAACCAACACGGTTGTTATTTTACAAATAACAAAGGTTGATGGCATACAGTAAAGGTCAAGAAATACGTTCTTTGGGCACATAGTTCTAGAGGTTATTTGCCTTTGCTTCATATTTTTGGACTGCTTAAAAAACAATTAACTTCTTCTGCAATCAGATCTTATCCAAAAGAATAAAAAATAATTTCTGTATCACCCAAGCACAACATTTTTATACTTGCTTTCTGAGCCATGGCCTCAAACAAGTTTTTGCTGTTTACTGTTCCTATTGGTGTTTCAACGTTTGTTTTTAAACTCCTGATACCTTCTTATCCCAAATCACTTGCAAAAGGCTGGGCAAAACGCAGACTGCTTGTTTGAATTGTGCTATTTTTGTATTCCATTAAAGGAACATTGCTATAAAAACACTAAAGCCATATTCCCTTCTCGAGGGCTTCTTTCCATTGTGCCTCACGCATTTGTGCCCCTTGTTGTGGGGTCCCCTCTGCTGACAGTGTCCACCTGGCAGCTATCACCTACAAAAGACACCATCAGTATAAAAATAAGTCCACAGTAATGTTTATTTCCCCCCCAGAAAACATTCCTTTGCCCAGCCAATCTATGTCAAATAGTGGCAAGATGAAGTACTCCTGTAAGTAAATCTCACAGATTTGTAGCAAACTAGTCCAGACCACCGTTAACACTGATAAGAGCAATTATGTGGCTGAACTTCATCCAGTGTCCATTTCTAGTATTTTCACTGCTACAGACATGGCTTCAGGGAAATTCCTTGTTTGAATGACAGTCCAGTAGATTTCCACACCTGAGGACCATGGGAAGCTGGGAAAACTCAAGGCATCTTGGAGTCCAGAATTCCAGATGGAGGTTTTGCTTGTAGTGAAAACTGTCCAGTTCTTTTCTCACCATGGTATATTCAGCTATCAGGGACGTGCCTTTGGCTTTTGAGCAAATAAATGGGAGAGAAGTATGAGTGAGCCAGGCTGTTATAGCAGGAGCTCCTAAAATACATTTTCTGGATATTGAGAGCATATTCTGGGGAGAATCAGCAGGCATAATCTGACACACCACTCATACGCAGTTGGCTCATCTGAAACTTCACAATGCTCAAGCTAGTGCTTTCTCAAGTTAGAGTGGTTTTGGACATGACTTCCTTCCTCCAAATTGCATTTTTCCTTTATTTCTTATTGCAGTTGAAGTAACAACTGTTAGCTAAGCCCAGAAATAAGGTTCAGTCAAATAAATGATTGTTTGTTATCTTAAACACAAGTGGTGAAAGTCTTCTTCACAGCTGAAACTCTAAATTCAGCAGCTGATCTGAAAAAGATCTCGCTGACCTCCTACCTCTTGGCACGCTCAGATCTCAGGCTTTTAGTACCACAGGAAACAAAAAGAGCCTTTAGTTTTCATCTGGAAAAATCTAGTTCCAAATGTGCCCTCTAAAATTCCATCTTCTCTACACTTTTAATTGCATATGAAATTATTTTACCCCTCCAAATGATCCTTCAAGCCAAATCTGAAGCGTTAAGAAGTTTAAGCTCATTTTAACTTATGAAGAAACTTCTTTCCCAATTCTAGTCCAGCGCAACCTGTTCAAAAGAGTAAAACTCCAAACTAACTTTTTCTTTTTTAAAATTACATACCCATGAGATCTGCTTCTTTTATAGTAAATGTTTGTTTTATAGACTACAGAGGTTTTTATCTATCTTGTTTATAAAATTTAATCTCGTTAATACTAAGAAGTTAGTCAGTGACACCTTGGGATAATAAGCTTATTTTATCACAGTTCTGTTATCAGCACCATTATGTTCCACTTTGTAGAGTGTTTATTACTGACACGAGAACAGGAAGTTAGGCTGAGACATTCAGTTGAGTCCCATGGCTGGCTGCAAGATTTTATAATTACTATCATTTGTTTCTAAATGCAAGAATTGAATGTCATCTGAGAGCGACTGACAGGAAGAGCATCTGTGGGAGCCTGGGATGTTGTGTTCAAGGTGGCTTCAAAAATACACAAACAAACTCACACTTTATACTACAGCGTTCGTAAAAATCCTGCACAAATGTCCTACAAAAAAAGACTCAAAGAGAACGAGCAAGTAAGAGAACTGTCTTTTCCTTGAAGCGTCTGAAATTGGTTATCAGTAATTAAGAGAGCACATCTAAATATCAGCACACGGAGAGACGCGTTCGCACTGGCTTATTTCAAGACAAAAGTTCCTACCTGATGAAGAAGAGAATTGTTCATCAGTCCTTGTGTCCCTGGGATTGCACCAGTGTGTTTTGCGTGAACGTTATTCACCGATGGCAATTTGGCAACTTTGTTTGACTTGCTGCTGCTGCTGCTGTTTATGCTGCTAGAACCAGGTGGGCACTTTCTTTTCTTCCCTATTAGTTTGTCTAGGGAAGGATGCGAATGTGAAAAACCGCTGTGCGAGTTCACAGTCAGCTCACTGGACTGATGAACAAATGGCCCTAAGGAGAGAGTGGAATCGCTGCTGTTCATCATCACACTCATTCTTTTTATTGATTCTGCAGGGCTTCCAGTAGGAGGACCCCTCCCTGATTGGTCATGTTTGAGGCTAACGGAGTTAGCTTTGCTAGTCATACAATTGAGGCCAACGCTGTGGGACGAAGATGTCACCGATGGGTGATAGGAGGTCCCAGAGTTTCCAGAGTTAACCACGCAGTTTTTTCTGAAGGACTCTGTGGAATGAGAAGGTGCTAGCAGTGCGGAACTGTTTTTACGCTTCTTTCCTGAGCCGCCGCCGCTGCTGACGCTGCCGGTGCTGTTACAGGTGCCACTGCCAGCAGGAGATTCCTTAGGTTTAAAAGATTTGCTGGATTTCAACTTCTGAGGTTTGCTGGGCATAGGTGAAGGTACAGAGGAAAGCACTGTAGGTGTTGAAGGAGACGAAGACACTTGTCTTGATTGCATACTGCAGACAGGATCCACTGCACCCAAGGTAGCGGGATTTGCATTTAGTGTAGTTCCATGTGATGGTACCGATTTATTGTTCAGAGACGTACAGGAAGGAGACACCAGAGCTGGAGAGGACATAACAGTGGTGGGGAGGAGGAAACCCGTCGTGCTGACCCCATACTGCGAAGCAGGTATCGCATTTGTCCGGTGCGGTGCACGAACTGCTGCTGTGCTACTAGATGCTGGTGGAATTTTCCTGTGGGTAAACAGGAAAAGAAAGAAACAGGTAGCTCCCATTCTTTGGGATGATATTTAGCATCATCAATCAAGAGATGCAGTCACTCCAGCACTAAAATATCTTGCTGGCACTTAATAGTTGCAAGAGAACGATGATGAAAGGTTAAGAGAACTGGGCGTGTTTAGCGTAGAGAGGCTCCAGGGAGACCTCAATGCAGCCTTCCAATACTTGAAGGGAGCTCATAAACAGGAGGGGGAACGGCTGTTTACGAGGGTGGATGGGGATAGGACAAGGGGGAATGGTTTTAAACTGAGACAGGGGAGGTTTAGATTAGATTTAGGAGGAAGTTCTTCACTCAGAGGGTGGTGAAATACTGGAACAGGTTGCCCAAGGAGGTTGTGGATGCCCCATCCCTGAGGCATTCAAGGCCAGGCTGGATGTGGCTCTGGGCAGCCTGGTGTGGTGGTTGGTGACCCTGCACATAGCAGGGGGGTTAAAACTAGATGATCACTGTGGTCCTTTACAAGCCAGGCCATTCTGTGATTCTACGAAAACAGAAAGCATCCATCTTTGACTGCACTAATCTAAAGGAGGGGTTATTTTTCTCTAACTAGAGTTACAGGTTTTGTGTATTTCTACAAATACCAACAAGAATAAGAACTCTTCCACTTGTACTCACTTCCACATCTGCGAATTAAGATGCTTCTCCACCATGAAGTTAAGTGCACATCGAATATGGTTCCACCGCTTATCAAACACGTAATAACCTCTTCCAATCTGCCGACTACCAAATGTGCAAAACTGAAAAGACAGATTTTTTTAGTGGAGTTTTCAACTTTCAGTAACAAAACATCTGTTTATACATACATGCAAAATTATTATCATTTCTAGATGTCTAAAGCAAGGATAGAACAGATGTTACACTGCAGAGATGAAAATGTAACAACTATCTTAAATTTTGTACATGCAACCATCTCTTCTGAGTAGCTGTCAGCTTACCTGCTTTTAGCCTAGCCAGGCAATGAAGTTTGTGATTTAATGTAAACTAAGTGGTTTTAACAGGCAGAAATCAGGAGAGGTGCATCTACTGCTAAGGTTATACCTTAAGGTTCAACTTGCTTCTTCAGTGAAGCAGTCAACATTTTGCCAAAAACAGTAACAATAAATCAGCCTCCACTATCAATTAGTAAGAAAATAAGTACTTTAAAACCTGAAAAAATATATACATAATAGAAATCCACCCTTAAAACCCCCAAGTTGCTTGTTTACAAAGCTTGTTTACAGTGAGAGACCAAGGTTAACTTTGACTTAAAACATACAGCGGCTGGTTGAGGATGATGACCTGAATAATGACAATCCAGTTTTTCAACAGGCTCTTCTTTTTCATCACATTCTCCCTCATCACTGGATAACCGAGATGCTGGCTCAGCTGCAGGCAAGGGAGGGTGAGGGGACTCGTGGACTGAAGGAGAATCACTGGGGGCATTTCCACTGTGCTGGGCTGGACAGCCTGGAGGCCTGGGCAAGGGAAGCAGCAAAGGTTGAGGCAAGGCTTGGCAATAAGAACTTATGGACATTTTAGTACTGACAGAAGGAAATTCACACTAACAGTCATTTGATATGATCCAGAGTCTCATAACATACCTACTTAGGGGAAGGACAGGAGATGTTGTGCCCCTGAAAAAGCAGCAATTGTTGGAAAAATGTTTAAATTGATGCAAGTCAGCTTCTACTATTTAGAACTCCCAACCCTTCTTGCTATGAGTTACAACTCAGCGTGCAATCGTTAATTGCAGACAGACCGCCACCAGGGCTAGAGCAAAAATGCTACCCTGTCCCAAAGATCTCCCTCTCTCTTTCAAAATCCACATGACAAAGCAATCGGTATTAATTTCATACTACTGGATATACTGATTTTTCTTACCTTGGAAGACTGGGGGGGTGAGGTTTGGGTTTATTAGGTAATAAAGGCTTTGATTCTGTAAGAGTAACTCCATGAGAATTTTGGTGCAGCTCCTGGGAAGTTTTAGTAGGTGAGGGATGTGGTTCCCTGAGAGGGGGCATCTGCTGATGATGATCCGAATGTCGAAGAAGTTCCTTTTCCCTGGTTTTGCTTTTGTGCTCAGCTAACAACACATCAAATCGTTTTCTTCGACCCTGTACAGCCCTCCGCTGCGTTAAGGAATGTGTCTGCAAATCCATGAATAAATCATTAATCCCAAGCCATTAGATTTGTGGAAATTAAACACTCAAGACTCATGTCCAGAGCTCTAGAATACAGACCATCACCACACTTGTGGCTTAGTTAAAAAAAAAAGGAGAAGAATGACTTATGGAACAGACTTGGACAGTTTGGGTGGTGTGATCATATGCCTGCTTGATACGAAATAATGAAGAATAGCAACTGAGTTAAAATTTGTTTCAAATTGCTTTTCAAAAGAAGAAATTACCAAAGTTCAGTTCCTACAGTGTATTAGTGACAGCTTCATTTACCTTTGTGCTGAACAGGGCTTTTTTACCTGAGACTTTCCCTACTAACAGTTTAGCTGCTTTTCATAAGAGTGCCTAATCATTACACAATTGTAGGGGATTGGGATTTTCAGTTCTTTGGGACTGACTGATACCCACTTCTCTCTCAAAAACTTTTGAGCCAAAGAACACATTTTATCTGATGGAAAGTTCTTAAAGATTGCTTTATTTCGGTTTGACCCCGAGCTGTACCTCACAGCATCCTCACAGACTCATTTCTGAATAAGTTGCAGGGGTCCATCCAGTGGCACTGTTTGCACAAACACCTGCTAAGTATTTGCTGCAGGTTTTGCTTGGAGAAAAAGGAGGATACAGCTTGGCTGTGCTGCATACATGTGGAGTTAGAAGCATTCCAGTGCCAGCACCCGTGTTTAAAAGGTTTACCCAATAATGAAGAACTGAAGGTTACTTTAAGAAATATGTTTTTGGATAAATAATTAACTGGATTTTGAAAACAGCTCTTTCTTGGTTGCTGGCAATGTGCTTTGAGAGGAAGCATTTACAGAGGCAATTACTGACTGCCAAAGCTTGCACTTTCCTGTGTTCTGTTGTATTCCCCCAGAAATCAAACGTAAACCTTACAAAATCTTACTCTGATTAAGACATCCTACCTTGCAGGTCAAAGACCTAGTACAGGGTTTCTTGGTTTCCACATCAATGACACCACAGTATATATCAGGATCAAATTCTCTCTCTGTCAAAGATGCACAAACATCCCATCATTGAAAAGTTACAATAAAGACATTTTGAAATACTAACATTTTCTTCACAGAATTTAACTATTCTGCCAATGTTTTCAGGTAGGACACATGCAAACAAAATCTGCAAACAGAATTGAGAAATTCACCGCTGACAGAGACCACAAAGCAGGACTATCTCAGCTGCATTAGGATTTACTTGTTTTTTACGTACACAAATGATCTTGCAAAACAAAAAACATTTAAATGTCACGATAAATATGAACACAGGGTGATTTTTTGCTTTTCTATAATTCTACCAACAACCAAAATTACTGCACTGTAATACCATGTTTTCATATAGGAAAGAAGGAAAATTAAACCTCTTTAAAGGTTAAAACACGAACTGATAACTGTAACATCAGGTGGTTTCTGAAAGCAACAGCCACGTTTCAAGTTGTTTGCATCCCTTATGAACCTGTCTAATCATAAATTCAAGTTCTAATACGTAAGTGTACTTCATTACAAGTTAGGTGTTCTAAGAATTAATATGCTTCTAAAGGTTATTTCCATATGTGTATTTCTACACGTACACAAATAATATAGCAAGTAATATTTAAAAGCAATTACCTGACAATCTTTTATGTAAAAATTTCCTATTATTTGTATTTTCTTCAGGTTTCTTTTCCAAAAATGGAGGCACAGAGAGAAGACCTTTACCATTCAGTATCTGTCCAGGGGAAGGCAAGGGTGGCTTTGGTATTGAGGGACAATTAAGGCCAGTCTTTATTGAGGAACTCACAGTAGTAGAACAAGTTGGACCAACAGCAGCTTTCAGTTGGGCACCATCTATCTTTGGATGAATCTTTTCCACTTTGACAGATGGAGTCATACTATTGTTTATGAAAAATAAACAGAAAAAATTGCAGTTGATAGTATAATGTGTCATAGATTACAAAAAGTACTTAAAATATTGTATTACTCAATACTCAGATCTATTAGTAATACAAATTTAGATTCTCGTCCTTAATTTTCAGTTTTAGTATTTTAATTCTTACGTATTTTCCACCCATTCCTTCTGTGCTTTCTGCTACCTTTTCTTAAGTATTTCAGAGTCATCAGTGACTTCAGAAACTTCTCTATGATGGATGTATAGAGACTAGATCAAAGAATGAAGACCCCCTAGTAGCACAGCCTTTATTTACAGTGACTCAAGATGCACCTTTGCAAGTGTTGCGTTAGTTTACCTATCAGCTTAGACTAGGCTGCTCAAAGAGATCTGGTGGAGTTTAAAGTGATCTGTCAAAGCAAAAACCCTCTGAAACAACAAGAAATACTACTGATACAGCAGTTTTTATGCAAGTATTAACGCTCAATTCTTTCTCAACACACATACTCACATTTTATCATGGGGAACTTTGCTATGCTGTACCGGATGCATTAACCTGTTGTTTCCGCTGATCTGCAGCTTGTCTTTGGGTGATTTCAACAACTTGGAACTTGATGATGATGATGATGATGCACTAGTACCTCCACTGGATGAACGATTGCTCCCACTTCCGCCGCTACCTTTGTTTTTTGAAGGGAAAGATGAAATGAGGGAAAATACTGAAGAGGAGGGAGGAGTCAAAGGCGGCTTGCTGGAGGAGCTGTGTCTTCTTTCTGAAGAGGAGAAAAAAGAAACAGAAGGGGGGGAAGGAGGGAGGTTTAAATTCGCAAGGCCCATACAGAAACAATTCTTAAATACTTCATACTGTCAATTACTACATTAACATTTTTCCTTTGCTGGCTTGGGAGATCCTCTGCCACACACGGAGCAGTGAGGAGTCCCTATAATCCATGAGGCTCCATTCACTGCTGGTCCCCAGTCAGTTAAAGGAGTCTCTTTTAACTTTGTGAGCTCCATTGCTCAGTCGCTACAGCTCAGCTTTCTCCCCATTCTCCATCTTACCAAGCAGAACTCAGAAACACAAAGCAGACAGACCTCAATCCCCAGGCCAAACAAGGTTCAATACCACATTTCCTCAAGCAGTAACTATTCTCTGTTAGCACGTCTCCTAATGATCAAACTGATATTGGAGCAAAAACAAAATTTCACTTTCTGATGATCTTCTCGTGTGTTCTACCAGACCTTCAGTGTGAATGCCCCTGAGAACAAGGGCTGAAGCAATGAGTTACATGCCTTCTGGTTTTCTTATTGATTCTATCAATCCTTTCAATATATGACCAACGTAAAGAAGAATTCTATTTAGCAGGAAAAGGAGCAATGTATATTCTACTTTGAGAAAGGATATCCAAGCATTTGAACAGTCAGGTTTTATCAACAGACATGTTGGAAAAGAAATGATTTAATTAACATTAAAGTGTCAGCATTAAATATTAACCATTAATACATTTCTAGAACCACTGCAGTTAAAATAGTGTATAATTCAAAAGTACTTTTTTGGGATAATGGATTCTCAGACACAGAATACTCAACAGCTGCACGGAGTTCCCAGCTCTGCCTACATGGACAGCTAACAGAGCATTTGCTCAGCTGATCTTTGGACACCTGTGATTCCTAAACAATCCCTGCACGTAATCAACACCTGCTTAGAGATGTCCCTCTGGCAATCAAGTATATGCAAACCATGGATCTAAGAGAGAACAGAGTATTAACAGGTCCATCTGTGGGTAACACTTCCTTCCCAGCTGGCATTGTTAATGGTGCCCACGTCCACCACTGGATCCTTTACACATTTTGACTTAAATTTACTTAAGCTGCCAAGGAAGCAGGCTACTCATGACGTTACAACAAAGTGAAAGCCAAGTGCAGCACAACCTGTGCACAGGTCTGTAACACTATGGAAAATACAAAGTAATATATCCACGTTCTGCTTATGGGATCTGTTTTTCCCTCCCCTCCTAAGTACAGCAATCACACGATATGGGGACAATGGCTGGGAAGAACTTCACTCACAGCTGGAAGCTGGAACCTGTGATGTTCATTCAGGATGATCTGCTTAGTTTTCTAGAACCGTGTGCCATTGAAGAGTTCTCATGTATGTCAGCATACTTATATTCTAGTCAATGGCTGTGCTTCTAATATGACATACTGCTTATTGCCAAAAGTCTTTTTATAGCAATGGCAAGAATCCCTGAGCAGCTTTGATAAGTTACTATTTGAGGGCCATTAGTTCAGCAATGCTACACCCTATGAGATTACTCCATGAGATAATGAGAAAAATTGCTCAATACTCTGCCAGCTTCTGTGTATTTAGAAAATCCGAAGTCTGACTACTTAATAGAGTTACAAACAATCTCTAATAATTTAGTAGCCCGCTAACGTAATATTTGGAGTTTGTTTTGGGTTTTTTCCCCCCTTTTGCAAAGGAGAATGTTGCTTCCTTGGAAACAGCTTGGCAGGTGAGAAGAGAATGAACCTAGGATAAGACTGAGCAGCTCCTTGCCTCCCAGCATTAGGAACAAACTGGGCAAAATATTAATCTGTGTCATTGATTCAAATGGTACGCACCCTTCTCTCCTGGCAGCTTCAGTTGGTACCATTCAATTAGCTCCAGACAGAGATGTTACTGACTGCTATCTGCATGAATGTTTAGTAGCACCCATCTCAATACGCGTGAGTTAATGAAAGAGGCAAATCTGTCACTGCTGACAATCAGAAACATTGACCTAGGAAAGCGAAGGCTAATGGCTCATCAAAACGCAGGACTATTGTCTGTCAGAGACAATTTCCATTCTACAAACAGTTGTATGATTTGGAGCGCAAAGAAAAGCCAAATGAGCATTTTCTGGAATTTTGAGACTTCTGAAAATTACATTCCCAGTACTGAACGTCTCATTCACAACATACACAGCAGCATTACAAAGATGTTTTCTCTGCCAGAACTGCTGAAGTGTCTTAATTTAGCTAAACACAGGTGGTCACAGCACAAGTAAGCACAGATATCCTTGGGATGTTAGCAGACTTCTCAGTGACAGGGCAGACAGTCTGATTCAATCCATTACCTACTGCTCATTATTAGGGAAACTGTTCTCACTGCAGTGTGAGGCACAGGAGGAGGCAGAGTGCTCCCTGCTACACGAGTCTTCTGGTTGTGTCCCCAGTTATCTGTTACAGAAAAATCTGCCACAGCAGAACCAATATATCTGAGGGAAACCTGTACCAAAACAAAGCCTTAGATCTTCATGTGGGTGCTTAAGTAAGTGGTCTGAGCTTCAAGATCAGGTTATCACTGCCTTTACACATCACAATACATCATAGTGTAGGGCATGGAAAAGCCTCTGGATCTACTTTTTTTCCATCCCAAGAATGATATAAAATAGCATGCAAGAGAGGTGATCTGCCAGTCCTGTTAGTGTTCCTTACGAAAACCTCCAGTGCATGTTATGATGCACTAAAGGGAAGAGATAAAATTAAAACTGTGAAGACTTCACTCATTTCCAGTGTATTTGCTGATGGACTGACATATTCTCTTCACAGACAAATTACTACACAGACTGTCACTGAATAACCAAGACCACTGTGCACATTATGCCAGCATATCAATGATAAATTCTGCTAATCATGTGCCAATCTAATGTAGCTCCCATATGCCATTAATTCTAACTCGACTTGAAAATACTTCAAAATAAGATCATCTCCAGGTGCTCAGTTTTCGGATTTTAAAAGTTGACATACATGCACCTTCCCTTCATACAACTCTTGAAAGAAAAGTAGCACTTTTCAATGTTATCACTGCTCCTGCAAAACTTCACAGTGATATTTCAAGTACTGCACCTGTCCAAGGCGGCTCCCATCTCTAAAATCTCACAGGAAGGTTTTTGTTTGTTTTTAAAGCAGAAGGAGCTTTTGCTTTGGATGAACAGTTGGGAAGTTCCCCTTGATCCCATTCAGACTTGCAGGAGACACACAGAAGATTTGCAAACATTAAAGCAAGTTGAACGACAGCATTTTGTCCCCAATGTAATCAGTGATGAGGTGCAAATCCAACTCACAGCACTGTGTAGAATGTGACTTTGGTTACTGCTTCTAGGCTGTAAACACTCAGATTTATTTTGGTCTATAACCTTATTTCCACAGTAACATAAGAGAAAATATACTTTTCATAGAGAAAATCATTTTCCTAAGATACTAATTTGCTGTACACTTAACAAAAATAAATATATTATCAGAGTAAAAGTTCTCCAATTCTTCTGCCCAGATCTACGCTTAGTCCCCAAACTTCAGGAAGTGTTCTGTGGTGTTCATTCTCCAAGTGCATCAATTAATAGCTTTGGGCAGCAAACACGATGTACAGATCGAGTTTCATAAACCCACTTTTTTAATACTGACTGCTTACGTAAGTACTGGGCAAGGAGTCAAACTGACCTGTGTCAGTGCTGGCAGAGCCATCACTAAAACTCAACAACACCCATTCAAACCCACAGGGCCAGTTTAATCCAATGAAAAATGTCGTGACTCCAGTCACAATTCAGTTTTAGCGTAGGTTAACTTAGGTGTAAGGGTATTATTCAGAGTACAGAACTAAATAAGTTTACTGAAACAAAGCATAAGCTTACATTTCTGTAACTATTATCTACATGTCTAATCTAAACTAAAAGCACGATAAGTGCTACTTGAAACAAGCTTATCTTTTTTTCATCATGCTGATCTACTGTACGACTTATCATTTCAGAGATGAATTAGCACAGTCATATTAAAACAAGCATCATTCACCTGAGGATAAATTTTCTCCAGTGCACATTTCTACTGTCGTTTTGGAGAACTAATTTTCTAATTGCTCCAAAAAATGGGATGCAGTGCATGCCATGAGGACACAGACTGGGACTGGAGGAAGCCCAGCATGAGTCTGACGAAGTGGCTGAGGTCTGTGGCTGCTGCACAGCCACTTGGAGAAGCTTGGAGAAGAGAAGGCTCCAGAGAGACCTCAATGCAGCCTTTCAGTACTTGAAAGGAGGGGGAACGGCTGTTTACGAGGGTGGATGGGGATAGGACAAGGGGGAATGGTTTTAAACTGAGACAGGGGAGGTTTAGGTTAGATTTAGGAGGAAGTTCTTCACTCAGAGGATGGTGATGCACTGGGACAGGTTGCCCAAGGAGGCTGTGGATGCCCCATCCATGAGGCATTCAAGGCCAGGCTGGATGTGGCTCTGGGCAGCCTGGTGTGGTGGTTGGTGACTCTGCACATAGCAGGGGGTTGAAACTAGATGATCATTGTGGTCCTTTTCAACCCAGGCCATTCGATAACTCTATGAATTTAACAGAAGACAATCACAAGTGATGTACACAAAGGCAGAGGAGTCAATCTTACTCCACTTCTTCAACAAATGAAGTCCACAACTTCAGAAGAGCATTTTGAGCAGTAAATCCTGATTTGACCAGGAGTACCCAAAGTCCTGTGTTCTGAAAAAGGTTTTTTTTTTAAGACACAACCCTCTCCTGCCAGCTTGAATCCTCAGCCACATTGACCTCACCATGACAAAAAAAATTACAAACAAACCCAAAAAACAGATCCACGAAGATGCTGCAAGAGGAACCCAGGAGCTCAAATCAAGGCCCATCAATCAAAATGCTCCTCCTTCGATGCCATCCTGGCAGCGTGCAGCTGGTTGGGAGCAATTGCCTGCACAGGGCCTTCATCTGCTGCTCGCTCACTTAC